GAGCAACATTCTATGGTTGGCGCTCATGTTCACCCTCATTATCTCGAGATAAAGTCAATAGTTTGCAATCCCAGAATAACAGGTTTTTAAACATTACTACTATAATGGACGCTAAACGTGCGATTGGTAAAGACTAATTGATCAATTTACCGATGACAAAACCAAACTGATCACAGAGTGAAGTGCTCAAACTGAGAATGAAAAACACTGATTAATCAAACACCCAGAGATTGTAACACTTTAAAATCAACAAACTGAATTCGGTGCTGATCAATACAATCACTTCCTGCCACAAGAAGAAGACAGAAAAAAACGGTCAGCATCGCCACAGCAAACAAAAACCGTCTTGCCTTCAGTTTTTAAAACACAAATTCAGACTTTGTTCGACTCCGCTGGGAAACCTGCAGGCAGTCGGTCAGTGGCTCTATCACTGATCATCGGAGAGCGTCACAATCAGAGCTGTGACGAGGCAACCAGCCAACATTCAATCACAGTCATGGACCTCAGAAAAGAACAAAGCAAAAAAGTACAGTAATGTATGGAGGCTCGTCAGTGCCAGATACAGAAAAAACAAAAATAATTAGGAACAATAGTAAAAGTAAAATACAGTGAGAAAACTGCTCACACAGATGTTTACACTCCTCGTTTGGGCAAGTGTCAAACCTCAGAACTTTACTGGTACAAAATAAAATGTTTAATCTTGTTCACATAGTTCCCAATTTAAATGTGAGATTTTGCCAGTTTTAGACTGTATTTGATCTGGACAACACTCTTGTACGGCCCTGAACAATGAGCATTAAACAAGTAAACTTAAGTTCCATGTTAAATACAAAAACATTTAACAAATGAGTTACTGAATCTAGTATTTAACTGTAAAACACAAGGCTCTGTTTCTGGCACTAACAAGTCTCCGGAGGACCACGAGAACATCCGAACACAAAAACAAGCCGGTTAGAAAAACAACAATAAATCAAACCAAACTGAAACTAATCTCTTAAAGGACTGAAGCTCCAGAGCACAAAACACCCCAAAACAAAAAAGTGACAGCAAAAACAAATGCTGATATTACATTCCAGGTGGGAGCCGCGGCCCCTGCGTGTCCGGGGGGTGGGGGGGGGGTCAGGGTCATAGGTCAAATATCTGCGACTCCCCAGTGAACCAATCAGGTGACTAAATAACATGTCATGACAAGAGAAAAATAAGTCTGCCTGGCCTGGTGTCATACTCACAACCTTCCCTAGAGAGTGATAGGCGCTGAGTGTGTGTGTGTGTGTGTGTGTGTGTGTGTGTGTGTGTTCGTCCAGGTGTGTCTCACCTGCTCTCTTCCAAAATAAAAGCTCCTGTTCAGGATACATAACCAAGATGTCTGTAAATGTTTTTAGTTTCTTTTCTTCTTCTACTCCGCGCATACATGAACGTGCACACTCACACGCATGCACACACGCACACCAATATGGGGTTTTTATTGTTGATTCTAATACTAATTATCACTTTAAATTTCACAAGGTGACCCCACACTTGTGGCCACAAAGCACTGTCAGCTTAAGTGTCCACATACTTTGGCCACGCCTTTAAGGTTGTTAGTGGAAACCCAATGAGAGTCACATATATGGACTAAAGTACTGGACATCAGAACGACAGACTGTGGCCATATGCACGCAGACACCTGACCAAAGTATAATACTTAACTCATTTTCTTGTACACTACATGGTCAAAAGTTAAGTTTAGTACTTTGTGACCACAAGTATGTTGTCAAAGTACACTGTATGGCCAAACGCTGTACAGTTCTCTGTTTAAAAAAAAAAAAAAAATCACATGTTCACATTTTATTTGTTAATTTGAATGTTCAGTTATTGGTTCTGAAAATTTCTCTTTACATTCTGGTGGAAATGTGTCAAATGCCAAATATTTAATTCTGAAGGAGACTTGATAAATCCTTTTGATTTTATTTAGTTTTGCAAAAGAGTGTTTTTAAATTATTCAGTATTAAAAATAATAATAGTAATAATCACGTTCCGAAACACGTTTCTGAAAACACCTTATACAGAGAACAATAAAATGTGTGCAGAAATGTCCACAGACCATTGGCCATGGTGCATTTAGTGTTGATCCGACTTTTATCTTCAACATTTTTCAAGAAATAAAAAAGAAGAAAGTTTTCTAAGACCTGTTAATCTCTGACTCTTTATAAATACTTCTAGGATTTGATTTTATTACAGAAAAATACACTTTATTTTGCTTATATACATTATATGTTTGTGTGAAGTTTAACAACAAACATCCACACAAACACCCAGAGTCCTCTCTGGCTGGTCAGCCCCACAGACACACACACACACACACACACACACACACACGGTGGTCAGGTGGTGAGCTCGGCAGCATACGGTAGAGTATGGCTATATCCTGGATGGCCGTGACCTCTGACCCCTGTGATGGACTGGTCAGTTTCCATGGAGACCTACAGCACAGAGAGCACAGTGCGGGTGAGCGAGCGTCAGTCCAGCAGCATGCCTTGCTCCTGGGCTCTGGTCAGGCTGTCTTTGCGGTGCAGGTGGTGGACCCCCATCCTCTTTGGGCTCTTCTGGGGACGCTGTGAGGTGGTGGTGCCAAGGGTGTGTTCAAAGTCCAGGAGACGGGGCGAGATGACGGGCAGGTCGTGGGGGAGAATGTCTCTCTCCTCGGCTGAACTCTCCTCCTCTTCAAACTCCTTCCTGTTGGTGGGGCTGGTTGCCACAGTGTCCGCTGTGTCCCCGCTGCCGCCATCTTCCTCCAGGTTCATCAGCAGCCTTTCGCCCTCTTCTGTGGAGCTGTCTCCCTTGTAGCGCCCCCTCCTGCTGGGCCGCAGCTCGGTGTCAGTGTCTGTGTCAAGGCTAGAGCCGCGGCTCGGTGTCCAGCTCCTCGCTGATGAACCCTCCTCGCCATCCGAGTACACCGCTTGGTGGCGGTCAGAGGAGGAGGTGGCCCCACGCCCCGCCACCTGCTTCGTCCTCTGCAACTCCTGAGCTGTCTGACTGCTGAAGGATGTGCGGCGCACCAGGGAGCTCTCGCATGATGGTGGCATCTTCTCCACGAACATCCGCTGCCAGTTGGCCAGGAGGTCTTCCTCCGAACTGCCGGAGCTCGCCAGGACACTGGGCGCCTGAGGGGGGACAGCAGGAACACTGAAACTACTGGGTTCATTACAGTCCAAGTTTTATATCTGTCTGCAGGAGGTAACAAGATGGAAATGTGGAATTTATTGTCTTCTCCCCTAATCTGGGTGTCTTTCATTCACTTCTTAAAATTTATTCGGGCAAGCATTTAATACTGGTGCAGCTCAGGGCTGGACAATAAAACCATCTGGATAATTACAAAAACATGTCCATGGAAACTATGAGTATTTTTGAATTCATAAATGTGCCTCTTGCACTGCTGCATATCGTCCTATCAGAACGTAGTATTAGGGTTAAGTAGCTGACACGTGTTGAGACCATGAGGAGACTCAGACACAGGGTGATGAAATGTGTCAAACAACATTAGTGGTTTGGTCGCTGCTGTAAACTGTGAAGACAGGAAACACGGCAAACCTTTTTGAACATATGAAAACATAATGTTAACTTCCCAGCACAAAGGAAGACAACAGTCTGCAGCAGCTGACCTCACTAACATGAAGATGTTAGTGGTAGCGCAGAAACAGCTTGAGCTTTAAGCAGACCTGTAGCTGCAGGCAGAGCCTCACATGAGCCTAACACACAAGTTGGGCCACGCTTGCCGCAGACAGCGTCAGGTTACAGATTCAAAAATACAAAACGTTTAAAATCAGAACAAGCTTTGTGATTTATTTCAGATTCAAGCCACAACTCAATGTACACATCACCCAGGCCTAGGATACTATCCCAAGTCTTAGATGCGCTAAGCTACGCTAAGATAAGCTAAGCTAAGCTAAGCTAAGCTTGGGACTGTTTAACTGATACAGTTCAGCCTTCACACTATGCTTCTGTCCAGTCACTGGTGACCCCTGAACTTTGAGCAGTTGTTTCTTCACTGATGTAAACCTGCTCAGATTAAAGCTGAGACTTCACTGCATTTTATTAACAACTCTGACTTACAAACATGTGGAACAGTCTAAATATGTACGACCTGGACTACAGTAGTTATTCTACTGTTCGATGTGGCAAAGAGGTTAAGTCTGCTGGACCAGAATGTTCACATTTATAGGGCTCACAGAAAACTGGCTCCTGTGAGACAACACACAATGCTAAGGACTTGTAACAGGTGCCAACAGATCTGACATATCTTCAAAAGTTAGGTAGATCCTGATGGAAAAACCGCCATTAGTAAAATATCATTTTTCTTGAATAACTCAAACTTATGATGTGAATGCGATTCCACATCCCAGGCCAAGGTTTTCATGGTCAAGGAATCATATTATGGAATTCACAGTATCATGGGGATTTTGCTATAAGGTGGAACAGCACTATGGGGACAGTGAGCTGCCCTGGCAGAGGTTTGCACCCTTAGTGCTGTTTGGTCTTATTTTAGCTTCTAATTTAATTAAATCCCTGGTTTTAAATCCTACCGATGTATCTGTATAACCTGCTCCTATTTGATATGAAGCGGATCAGTATTTTACTGAAACTAGAGACTGGTCCCACCTGTGATCTCTCACCTGAAATCTCAGAGCAATCAGATGTGTGTTGGAGGGCGTGGCTTCAGGTTACCTGTGGCGGGCTGCTGAAGGGGCTGGACTGACTGGACAGTGGCTCACTGGCGGCATCCCGCTGTGATGGCTGGTTGACTCCGCCCCCCTTGCTGGAAGATGAGGAGGGAGCGGGACTTCCAGGGGCCAGCCGCTCCTCGTCGCTCTGCACAAGGCTGAGGGATATGGCCTGCCTCGTGGCGTAGGTGCAGTTGGGCAATGGTGAGTTTTTGGGGATTTTCACTTTATCGTCTGATGAGAACTCGATGACTTTGCGGCCCGGATAGAGGGGGTGGGGTGGTGGCGGCGCCGGGTACGGGTTCAGCTTCTCAAAGGACGGAGCTCCGCCTGCCTCCTCTCCACCCGACTGCCCGTCCAGACTGCTCTGACTGAGGCAGGACCCATTCTGCTGTGACGGCACCTGACTGCAGTTCTCCTGGCCCAGACCCTCAGTCCCCACGGGGCCCGTCATGTCCACATGGACGAAGACGTCCTCTGCGACAGGATGACCGCAGCTACTGGACTGGGCGGAGTTCAGAACCAGCGGCTCGGGTTTCTCCAGGACCCGGGCGATGACGGAGGTCGGCACAACATCAGCAGGAGTCAAACTGAGCGTGTCCGTGTCTTGAGGGCTAGACCCTTGCTCCGGCAGGCTGCTCTTCATGTGTTTTTTCAGCATGTCCTGCAACTCATAGGGCAGCTGCAACACACACACACACACACACACACACACACACACACAGTGTTTAAGTGTTTCCAGGAAGCCAGCAGTGTGTAACAGCTGAGTCTCTGTAAACTCTAATGGAACTAATAGAAGCATCAGCAGAAACAGAGAAGTCAATAAGCACACAGAGAAACACACACACACTCCCTTAATGCCATCAGGCATATTAGCCAGTGTCCTACATTAAAGGAGCGTCTCGGTGATTCTGCAGCTCCGAGTGCATTCATTACTCTGCTCAACACTTCTCATTCACAGTCCAACATCAACATCACTTAGTTTCTCTGTACTACGCACATTCCAGACCCTGAAGAAGATGAAATGCAGCTGAAACTAAGGCTTTGTTCACATCCACTTAATTCATTACTTTTACTTAACAGTAAAAGAGTTACTTAGAGATTCAGAGTTACTTACGTCAGCAAACTTGTGGTTCCTGAAATGCGACTTGTTGCACTTGAGCAGCTGCACGGCCAGATTACAGTCCTGCCTGTACCGCTCCTGAACACAGAGTCGTCACCATCATCGTGTTGTTGCTGCAGGTTCATCTCACATGCACAAATACTGTGAACTAATTTTACTCTGTGTTTTTGAAATACTTTAAATTGGACAAAATGTAACCCTCTCTAACTTGGATGTGAAATGAAACTTTCTTCACTGACCAAATATATTTGCATTTAGTACTGTATTAGTAATTAGTACTGTGTACTTTTGGAGTAATTCCATTATAAAGTTCCAAGCACCAGCGAAAAATGAGTATTTTCTTATGTAATTTCTTACATAAGTAGTGCAAGTAAAAGCAGATTATAATGTTTGTGGAATTAGTCTACAAAGTACTAATTCAGACTAGTTTTTATAATGGGAAGGTAAAAAAAAATAGGAGCACAGGGCTGCATTGTTTTGCCGGAGCCCCTTACGGTGCTGGTGCCAGCTGCGGTGAACACAGTTCCCCCATAAAAATGGAGAGGGCTGCATTTTTCACACTTCTGAAACTCAGTCCGAACGCGGCCTTAGTCCCACAGAGAAATTCACAAAGCTACAGCAGCAAAAGGACAGAAGGCGCCCAGCGTTTTAGAAAAGTATCAGACAAGGTACTATAAATATAAACAATATAAATAATAAAAAGTGAGACATTTCTGCACACTGGTATACTGAATATTTATTTTTTACAGCCTGTAGGTGTGTCAGGTCTCAATTTTATGTAAAAGCCAGTCTTTGATATAAAGACAGGAAGGCTCAGCTCCTTAACGTTCCACTCCAGAGACATGCTAATATTTATATATGCATATAGAACTACTCTACTATAAACAATATATAGTCCAACACAGCTTTTCCTCAAAAACGTTCAGTGAAGCTCTGTAACGTTTGCCTATGACTGTGAATTCCAGGATCTATGAAGATCCAAATACAGTGTATGCAAATGTATAAACAGTATGTCAGTGCCTCTTCATTATCTCAGCTGATCCAAAATGTAGCATTAATCTAATGTTAGCATTTAACACAGAAGCAGGCCATCAGCACTCGGTTCAACAGCCTAACCTTCCCGGTCACATCAAGGTCAAGGGTTTATTGTCATGTGCACAGTTAGGAAACGTACACAATAAAAGTGAAATATAATGCACATACATAGGTAACAAAATCTAAATTTCAAAATCTAAGGTACTGTAAAACAGTCGATGAAAGAAGCATAATGAAAATACAACAAGAACACAATATACTGAAGCAAGAATGTATGCTACATGGGAGCAGCACGTGCAAATAGTCAGGAGTGAGTGTGCAACTATGCATGTGTGATCCGAGTATGTAAACACTACAGGTGGCATTATATGAGGTAGTTCTTGAGTCAGCTGTTTAGGAGTCTGATGGCAGAGGGAAAGAAAGAGTTAGTCAGTCTAGTGGTCCTACATTTCACACTTCTGAACCTCCGGCCAGAGGGTAGGAAGGTGAATAGTCCATGCTGGGGGTGGGTGGGATCTTTGAGGATAGAGGCAGCTTTCCTATGCACCCTGTGGTGGTAAATGCTCTGCAGAGAGGGCAGTGGAGTCCTGGTGATCTTCTCCACAGTCTTTATCACTCTCTGCAGGCGCTTGTGGTCCATAGCAGTAGTGCTGCCGTACCAGACAGTGATGCAGCTGGTCAGGATGCTTTGCTGTTAATACTCCAGCAGTGGTATGTGTCTCAAACCGGCTAGTAATGTTTGATAGTATGTCAGTATCTCTCTATTTTTGCTTGAGGCCAAGTTAACTGTTAGCATGAGGTTAACTTATCTTTGGCAGTGAGCCAAACGTGGCTTAATGCTAGTTGTTAAACACTGGTAACTAGCCGCACATCTCATAAGGTTCAAGGGTCAAGGATTTTATTGTCAATTCACCATATGTGCAGGACATAGAGAAAATCGAAATACCGTTTCTCTCTCACCTAGTATTGGGTGCCATAACATTTAGGACCTAAAATAGAATAAAGTAGAATAAGAATGGAATGGAATAAAATTGTATTGACGTAATTATGATAAATCTAAACGGTAGAGCCAATAAGCTGTGACTCCAAACCGTGTACAGTCAGTGACAGTAGTGCAAACATTAATAGGAGATTGTCAGATGGTTCAGCATCACCAGGGCGTTGGTGATGAGGTGCTAATAGCATATGAGGTTTACATGGACAGTATCGCAAATGACCAACAACAGCAGATATACACATAATATGACAAAAAGGGGAATGTATTGAGTTTGCGCAAACAGCAGAGGTAGTCTTTTTATATCTTTTGATGTTCTGTGGTGGGTTATGGTCCAGGGGCAGAAGGGGGGGAGGTAGTGAACAGTGTTCAGCATCCTCACAGCCTGGTGGATGAAGCTGTTTGTAAGTCTGGTGGAGTCGGCCTGAAGACTCCGATACCTTCTCCCTGAAGGCAGGAGTCTGAAGTGGGAGTGTGAGGGGTGGGAGATGTCATCAGCAATGCTGATGGCTCTGCAGGTGAGGTGGGTGTTGAAGATGACATTTGATAGCATGTCAGTAACTCAATTTTTAAGTTGATCCAAAAGTTAATCTAGTAACATTAACAGAAGACCAGGAACTTATGTTATTATTAGCAGCCGGCTAACTGCAGCACTCAGAGCTACTGCCAGAAGCCAAAACCATATCAATCAAGCTGTTAATAATGGCACATGTCTCACACCATCTCAGTATTAGCTAAATAGTAGTTATATAAACAGTGTAAAGAAGCTTTGCTTCATCACAAATTTGATTTTCCTCCGAATGTTTGGAATCAGGATTTCTAGGAAGTGGACTGACACTGCCCCCTTGGGCAGAATAATGTCAAAACGCCCTGTTAGTGACTGTGCACAGGCACCAGTCAGTGCAGTAGAAGTCTGACATTTTAGGGCATATAAACATAAAACACCATGTTTTTCAGTTTAGGGGATCTTTAAAGGAAAACTCGTCAATCAAGGTTAGCCTCCGAATGTGCTCAGAAATAACACTGTCAGTCAAATCATTTCTCACACTTGTCTCTGATTCAGAAGCAAAGCAACTACAACATACAGCCACCAGGTGTGTAGCCATCACAGCTAACTGCATAGGAATATACATCCAGGGCAACTTGCCACCTGACCTGATCACTAGGTCACACAGCATCCTTCCACCAGCACTGGTTTGTTTAGTGTGAGGATACATAATTCTTCCTCTGTAGTATAATTGTCATGTCACCAACAATGTAAAACAAAGAGTAAAAAATATTAAATACTCACATTGAGCTCCTCCAGTTGGTCGATAGTAATTTTGGCATCCAGGAGTTTGTTGGTGAGCTCCACGATCTCTTTGTCCATCGTCTTTTTGTCCCTCTCCACCTTCCGTAGCTGTGAGAGGGGACATCATGTTAGAACATCATCTGTCAGTCACAGCTGAGCTAACCAGGAACCCGAGATTACCAAAGAGAGGACTAGAGCAAAAAAAACTACATTCAAATCATGTAGGAAATAAACTTAAATAGACAGAACCAAGCCCCCAGGAATAGCTCTGCGATGCAAATTTGGCATAGCGGCAAAACCAAGCTACTACAATTCCCACGTTCATCTTGTGTGTGACGCACACTGGTCCAAAAAGCATTATTCCCATAGAAAATCATTGGAAGAGGAACAGCTATAAAACCATGAATACATTTTTTCAAGCATCACAAACTCAGTCACCTGACCTCAACCCGGCTGAGCTGCTTTTCACTTACTGAAGACAAAGACCTACAAACAAGCAACAACCTGAAGGCAGCTGCAGTAAAGGTTTAACAAAGCATCTCAAAGGAGGCAACTCCAGTGACCTCCATGGGCCCCTGGCCTCTGGCACCAACTGCAAAGGACTCGCATCCACGTATTAAATATAATAATTACATATATATTTTTATGTTACTGTTCAATTACTTCTGAGTTTATGAAAACAGAGGGCTGTGTATAAAAATGCTCCAATTCCTAAACAGTTAGTGATGCTTTTGTGAAACCCCTTACAGAGGCAAAAGCACACAAACCGTGTCCTTGTCCAACTACTTATGAACCTTACTGTATGAAATATGGCTCGATCAGGCCTCTGCCTCTACCCAGATCTTAATTTACACATTTCAGAGGAAAAATTTAATGTTTTTGATATATTCTTCTTCTGTGTGGAGTGCAATCCTCAAATTAAAGTTATATGGATTTTCTTTTCACTTAAAATTTTACTGTTTGAAATGCTGCCATGACCACAGAGGACCAATCAGGTAATTGATTAGGGCTGTGTTAGCTACTCTTCAAAAGTGCACAGACATTGACCATTAGCCAGCATTAGACAACGTGCACACCAAGTCCCAATGTTTGTATGATTTTAAAATATGACAAAGGTCTAAACATTTTGAAAAACATTTCTTAATAAAATGAACACTTAGAGAATATACGAGATTAAATCAAGTCAAATTACTCAGAGAATCAAGTAGTAATATTTCACAAAAATTAAGAACAGAGGATACAGTTAAAATATTTCAGAGAAAACATTTTTGATAGAAAGGTTTTAACATTTGGGAACATTTTCACAATACTATAGCCATTTTCATAAAGTCATTATTTTACCTTTGTTGTCACTATTTTCTTAAAATGTTAGATTTACATTCCGTAATCTGATTTGAAAACAGTAACTCTTCTGTGCATACTGTTCAGCAGAAATCCAATAAGGTAATACAGGTAAAAAACACACAAAGACTGAACACGAGGTCAGGACTTGGTGTACAAACTATCAGACTGAAAACACCACAGAAGAAGAGTGAGGAGAAGGATGGAGAGAAGTTGGATATGATGGAAGAGCAGGAAAGATGGACAGAAGGTGAGGAACATGAATTAAACGCAACTACATGAACCCATGTGCGACTGATGGCAGCCTGATGAAAATGATGATGAAGAGGAGTCAGTCCATCAGAGAGCAGCATGAGAAAATAGGACAAGAAAAAGAAGATGAAGATCGACATCTGACAAAGAAACAGGACGTTTGGAATCTCTGAATGTTTTGTCAAATCTACCCAGGTCTGAAAAGACTTCATTTTAATACAAAGTTTTCACAGGCGTAAAACAGCAAAATGCCTGAATCAGATTCATTTATGCACTTAAACCTAAAAGTCAGTGACTGTTTGAGTGACAGCTTCATAGTAGTCTTTGTTTATACAATATTATTTGTAAAGGACTGAAATTTTGAGATTCAACTGAAAATTTTTTCAGAAATATCAGATTTTGTCCATCTTCAATTTAGAATATTTAGACAGGAAAGAATTTCCTAAAGAAAAGTCATAACATTTCCCTGGGAAAGTCAGATTATTATCATCATCTTCATTATTAATATTATTGGTAGTATCATTATTACTGGCAGCAGTGTTTTATTAAAAATTTTGATATAAATGTTTGGATATTCTGTCAGAAAAAACAACATGTTGCTAAAAAGTTGTTGTATTTAAATTACATTTATCTATTAGAGTCACAATATTTACGTAGAAAAGTTGTAAACTGTTGCAAAACAAGTTGCATTATGTTGCTATGAAAAGCTGTGGTATGTCAAACAAATAAATTCTAAGACTTTGCCACAAAAGATGGTATTGTGATTTGCTTTTATGGAAGCAGAAATTGTGAAAATAATAATGAAGTACATCGATTCTGTCTAATTTACTTGAGGGACACAAACGGTATGCAATGATGAGCTAATCATGATTAGACGAGGGACTACTGAATACTGACTCGATCAAATTAAACATAAACATCGGGGCTGTTTCCGGGTTGCAAGCGAGAGCAGATGTCTTTACTGCTCCTCTTGTCTGTTCTACGATTTTTCACATCTTCTACATTTTCAAGTCTTTGAACAAATTCTACAACTATTAAAATGCCTCCAAGAGTGAGAAGAGCTAATAAATCAGAAGCGAATGAGGATGTTGAAGCAGAAGAGGATTATATTTCAGCGGCCCAAGTAACAGAGATGTTGAGTCAGCAGAAGCAGATGTACACCGCACTGTTGAGCCAACAACAAGA